TTCTGCGAAAAACATTATATTTTTATGTTAGACAGCTTTATTTTCAGTTTCCTTTCAACTAATTTCGCAAAAAAAAAATGTTTTGTAAGTTAATAATTCTTTTTTGCACTTAGATGTGTCTACTAAATTTTAAAAGAAAAAATCATGTCACCTTTAAATATAAACATACCTTTTTTTCCAACTGATTTGGATTTCTGAGCTCTAAAATATATGGAGTAGCCGCAATCTGGGATCACAATCTGGGTCTTAATTGTTTGATCGAGAGACCAGTCTAAAGTTTGGACCCCTTAATATTAATTTTATTTTTTGCATATTTTGCCATATGACGAGAATTATTTAAACGAATCGAAATTTTTTTTTTAATTTTAAGGCAAACAATTTTTTAGATTATTTTAACGAATCTAATTTTACATATACAAAATTTGAACGAAATGAGTCGACCTAAAAAATCAAATTTTAGAAGTTTTTAAAACTCGATCAGAAAATTTGGTTGAGAAATCAAAGAATCGAAAAGGTATTTGAAGAAAGTAGATTTTTATGTTTGATTTCGTAATGCAAATTATCGTTAATCAATTAGCATATTTGAAGTCATTTCTTTAGATCATTAAGTTTTAGTACTTTACTTTTTATGCATCAGTTGTTCATATGTACAATATTCCAATTTATCAAAATAATGCTGCCACCTGGAAAAACATTTTTAAAAATTCCATAACAGTTGTTGGATTCTAAATGAATCCAACGTACAGAAAAACCATCAAACGTTTCGTTAAAATAAATATAATAGCTGTAAGGGACAAAAAACTTCGCCTAGATGATTTTAAAAACATCTGAAGAAGAATTTTAGAATAGGATATCATTTCAATGGAAAATAAAATATACAATACGTTCATGTTTTTAACTATTTTCCCTCTCAAGAAAAATATTTCTCTACAACGTTAAATCTTGTTTTTTTTTTCAAATGTTTTGAAAATTTTCCTCGGTAAAATATGATACGATTACTGCTATTTCGCTGCAAAGAGTCGATATTTTCTGGAAATATATTTAAAAGGAAGGAAAATTGTTTTTCTCCAAAAAGATTTTAGAAAGTTATGCATTTAAATGAGTTCTGTATACGAGCTTGTTTAAAATAAGGTTTTTAATAGACATTTTCGAGTTGTTATTAACCAGAAAAGAGCTTGGTAAAAAAAAAGTTGAAAGTAAAAATACAAAAATGCTATGCGCAAAACAAGTTTTAAATAATTGGAAAAAAGTACTCGAAGTTTTAACACAAGAAAGAAATGTATGTAGGCAGCATATATCCGCAGAATATTATTAATATTTTAATAAAAAAATATCGATGTGTGATTTTTTTTAAATTTTGTGAATACGAATCATTATAAGTGATTCTTAAATGGTCTGAATACGAATCCCGGTGTGAGACTTTTCAATCGCGCGAATATGTGTCGCGATTGTGCGAATTTAAATGGCATGAATACAGTCGATATGATGCACGATTTTTTTAAATCATGTGAATACGAATCCCGATGTGAGATTTTAAAATCACGTTATTACAATCACGATGTGTAATTTTGAATAGCGTGAATGCGATGTATATTTTTAAATCGCGTGAATACGATGTATTTTAAATTGCGTGAATATAATACACAATACTTAAGTAGGAATAAATAATATAATACGTAAGTAGTAAAAAGCGTAAAAAATGGTTTTGTCTGGAATTTGGACCTTTGGATAACAAATCTTTGTCAAGGCACACGATCAGAAAAAAAAATCGTAAACTATCATTTTTTAAGTGATGAAAGTTTTTAAATTCTGTCCAATATATTGGAGGTCAAAAGAACAATCACAACTTATGCATAATTATAGCATGTACAGTTAAATGTTGAACAGAGCAAATTTTCTTCAATCTCTATAAGGTATTCCCCAAACTACATTAATATATAATCGAGCTTAAATATTAATTTAATGTGGTTCAACTCTATTAAGGTTGTAGCAAATATGGATTACGGTTTAACATACTCTAAAATTTCTAACATAGTAAAAACTATGGTGAAATACCTATCCGAATTCGGTGTTAAAAAGCTCCAAAAATTGCTTGACTTTATTTCAAAATAATACAGAATCAAGCATTCGTATACGCTTTGAAGGGTGTAATTAAATCTGAACACCAATAATTGATAAATCTTACATCATGCTCAGATGCATTTACTCAATTCTAGACAATTCTAGATTGTTTACAATGGAGCACGAGTTGATGAATGTTCGTAGTCACGCAAGCTGCTGAATATTCCACAAAAACAGAAGTTAATTGCAAATAGAAGCATGCATGTATTTAGTTGTGCTATCAAGTTTATTATGATCTCATAAAAAGACTTTAAAAATTTTAAAGTTTTTTATTTCTACTTAAAATTCTTTATTACTTAAGAATTAATGAGTACCTTTGGTCCGTGAATAAATTATTCTTACTTTATCTTCAAAATAACCTCACTAACTCTTATGTGTATCTTATCTTACTGCAATTATAAATTTTAGTGTTACTGAACATAAAATGGTGGCTTTACGCCACATAAGAGACACATATGAAAGGACATTCTTGGTCTTTAATAATTATTGGTGTAGTGAAACACAAAAAACCGAGAGTCATTTATTGTGCTTCATAACGGTGTAAAGTAGTTACCACCATTTTTGGTGTTGAGATACTATAGATAACGAATAACTTCAAGTGCTAGAAAGAGTTAGTTGTTCCAAAAACTATTGTCAGTTCGAAAGTAGGTAGTTAGTTACTTTATTTACGTCGAACTAGAGCTGCAGAACGGCCTATTGGCGACGGTCTGGAAAAATCCCTGAGGATGATCCGAAGATATGCCATCGTAATTTTGAAATTTTGCAGAGGGGATGGTTCCCCTGCATAAGGTACACATAAGTAATCCGATTACCTGCACGCGAAGTCGAGCAATTTACGGTAGAACAGTTTAACGAGGACCGATACCTTAGAATTATCTTGCGTGAAATTTTATAATTATAATTATAAATTCCAAAGATAAGGTGGAGTCACAAAAAATTAAATTAACTTTAAGGGAATAGAACTTTCAACCGCTTTCTTGACTGTGGAACCATGTTTTTAAGTTTGCGCTACGTTTTGATTGCTGGAAAGCAAAATTTGTCGAAGAAAATGTTTGTTCAGAGAAAGAATGCGTCAGATTTTGTAAACTAATTAATAGTTAGCATGAACTAAAATAAACTATAAAGATTTTTTCTTCTTTTTAAATATGTGAAAATATGATCATGAGAACAAAGTTATTGTGTGTGACGTTTTTCTTTCATACAACAATGACTTAAAGCATTAAGTTTAGCTACCCTCATATTATTTGTTTTACGACGCTAAAAAAAATATGTTGAAAAATTATTTTACGTCGCATTTGAACTCTCTAAAAAAGAGCATCTTCTCACCTGACATTTCAAAAGTTTTTTTTCACTATTGGAAATATTAGATTTTCTGTTTAGAAATTTGATTTCAGAGTGTTTTAAAAGCTACTTTCAACAAAGAAAATAAATAAAAATGAAATAGTATGAATGTCTTAAACCCGACTGTGGATGTTATTTTGATAAAAATAGTAAACTGGCTGAAAATATTTCAAATATTTAAAAAATTATCAACTCTCCTTTTTTCGATAATATAATACTTTTTTTCTTCATTTCGACGAAAAATCACTTCTATTAATGTATATTGAGCCACGGCTTAGCAATGGCTGGTCGATGCGAATTCTGCTCCGCCTGGCACAAATCACAGTCCTGGTGAAAAATATACTCAGTGGTCAGAATTCCTTTCCTGCCTGGCTAATCGTGAAGGGTTTTTATGGGTTTTCTCCTCACGTAACGCAAATGAGGGTTAGTCACAACAAAAGATACTCCTCGGAAGCCAGTTTGCCTAAATGCTTGATTCAGCAGTTCCCTTGTCTTTTGGGTTGAATTCAAAATTGCAAGTAGATTAGTTTTATTATTTAGTGATTGCTATTAGTTCCTCCATTACATCAAAATAAACTATTTAATTACACCAAAACTAATCCGTATTGATAATCTTCATACATAAGAGTGCATTGCAGCATAAAATATAATAATAATAGCGTAATATAAAGCATAATATATAAATAATAATATATAGCACAATATATAAAAAGATAATATATAGCATAATATATATTATAATATAATATTATAGCATAATATATATTATAATATAATATAATAGCATAATATATATTATAATATAATATAATAGCATAATATATATTATAATATAATATAATAGCATAATATATAAAATTCCCAGGCTAATCGTTTTCGCTAAACTTAATTTTAAGCAAATAGCTTGGTCGCGTTTTTTGTTCCCAAAAAACGAAGAAATACAATTTTTAAATTTTTTTTTAGAGATTTTGCAATAAATTTTGTTAAAGCGTAAAAATTTTACATTTTATTACATTAAAAGAGAGTGAAACGTTTTTATTACTATCTTCAAGCATGAAAGTGCGTTGATGCTGCTATTAGTTTTTCCGTTACATCAAAAAAACCATCAAAAGAAACTATTTAATTACTCCAAAACTATTGCTTATCTTCATTGCAGCAAAGAGTACATTGTATCAAAAAATCATGATTCTCATGCTAACTGCCTTCGCTAAACTAAATTTATTCTACTTTAATAAAAAATAACTCAAAACTAACGTTGCTTCAAAATCGATTTTTTTTTCTCCTTTATTTTTAAATATAACATTTGTGATGCTAGTTTAAAAAGCACGAACGAAATATTTTTTTTAAACTTTAAAAACCGTAATTAAAACGAGAAAAAAAAGACCTCAATCCAACAAGCGCAATACGAATCACGTTTTGTCAATTTTCTATCGCTGATAGTCATTCTCTAAAAGAAAAAAAAACCCATTTCAAACTTTGACGTGATTTTGTTTTTAATAAAAAAAATAGTATTTGAATAAAGAAAAAAGAAAACTTACTAGTTTTTCGTTTTCGTCCTCCATTTCTAGGCGAGCTTTGATGCAATTTCGAGTGTCTAAGAAAGCTTTTCTTTGGGCTCTTTCCATCAGATTGTGAACGAATATTCCCACAACATTTACGCAGATAAAAGCCAAAATATTGGCAGCAATCTAGGAAGAAAAATTTATTTCTTAGTAAAAAATAATTTTTATTTCTCAAAAGTAAGTATTTCAAAAATTCAAATTAAAAAGTTATTTTTGTTTATCCATCTGAATATGAGACTTTAAAAACCTTTGTTTTTGTGAATTGGTGACAAATCTAATACTTTTATCAATCTAAAATTAGCGTAGAATCGAAATATTTCATTTTTTTTTTATCTGGATCCTGTTTTTTGAACATGGGATAGTGATAAAAAACACAAAAGAAGTTATATTTATGAATTAATGAAATCATCCATTCCTCTTTTCATAAGACTCATTTAGATTTTCGTAAGGGGTCCATTTTTATGATTAAAATATGTGAAGGATCCGTTTTTATGAAGAAACAAATTGTGAAGGGTCCATTTTAATGATAAAATAATTCGTGAAGGGTCCGTTTTGATATGATAAAATAAATTGTGAATGATAAAATAAATTGATATGATAAAATAAATTGGGTAGAAATGATAAAATAAACTGTGAAGGGTCCGTTTTCACGGTGAAATAATTTGTAAAGGGTCCGTTTTGATATGATAAAATAAATTGGGTCCAAATGATAAATTAAATTTTGAAGGGTCCATTTTGATATGATAAAATAAATTGTGAATGATAAAATATATTGGGTCCAAATGATAAAATATATTGGGTCCAAATGATAAAATAAATTGTGAAGGGTCCGTTTTCACGATAAAATAATTTATAAAGGGTCCATTTTGATATGATAAAATAAGTTGTGAATGATAAAATAAATTGATATGATAAAATAAATTGGGTCCAAATGATAAAGTAAATTGTGAAGGGTCCGTTTTCATGATAAAATAAATTACGAAGGGTTAATTTTTTCTTCATTTGTCTTTTGAATGTCTTTCGTTATAAAAGTGTTAATTAATGGCCTCAACTGACTCCATTTTTCAAGAAAGAGAGAAAAAGAAGGAATAGATAATTTTAAAATTGAAAAACATTATGAAGAGTTAGTTTTTAAAATAAAATATTCTAGAAATATTTATTTTATAATAAATAATTTGAGAAAATTCGTTAACGAACCCAAAATCCTTCTAAACCGAAACCTTTATAGATTAATTTAATGTTTTAAATATACTATAAGAAATTTTACATGGAATTTCATGACTACCATCTTAGATTTCTGACAGTTAAGTTGCTACAGACATTTGTCACATCAAAAACCTATCATTAGAAGTTTTTAACTAGTAAACCCTTCACAAACTCTTTCTGATAATTATTCTCAATTATTCCTAGCTAAAACACTCAAATTATTAATCACAAATTGTTTCCTGCTAAAAATTATCAGTTTCTTCATCTTATCAAACTAAATAAAATATGATCTTAATGAATTTGAGAAGGTTTTTGAATTTAACATTATTTTAACAAAAATTAAAAATATTTATTATTAAAATATTTCGTCTACACAAATTTTTCTTCTCTAACTTTAAAAATTTTCATTCCTCCTTTAGATTCTTTTAAACTTGATTTAAAAGGAGTTTTGTTAAAAACTATAACATTTAATTATTCCCCTCTTCCAAATATATTTGTATAAATAAATTCCAAATAAGGACATCTTATTTTAAAATGCAACAGATTTTCGGAAAATATAAGAAAGTTCACATTTTTCTTCCACATTCTTTGCTTGCATTGTGATCACGCGATGCTTTTTTTTTNTTTTTTTTGTAACTCTACTTTTAGGTTCATAAACAATTCTTTTATTTTAAACTATTCATGAGATTTTTTCATATATCTTCTTGAAGTACGTTCAATAATTCTTTAATATTTTTTACATTTAAGATTTTGGGAAAATATTTATTGAAAAAATAAATCACCATTCTCAAAAATAAAATATCCTTGTTCTAAGATAGCTGAAGAACAGCAAAAATAAATTTAAAAATTATCAGGGGTGTATCTGGATTTTTTTCCTATGAAAGTTCCTTTCTTTAGTGAATTTGGGATATTCATAATTTTGCAAATCAAAAATTGGCGTTAAATTGAGTTTATTTTGCCAAGATCTGTTTTTGTAGGTGAGAGAGTTCATGGCTTGTCAACTGCTTTATAAGAAAAAAATTCGTCAAGGGTTTATTTTAATGAGGTAAAGTATAGTGAAGGTCCCATTATGATAAAATAATTTGGTTCATTTTTGAGGTAAAATATTTCATGAAGATTTCTGTTAACAGAATTCTCTAACGGCAGGAACTTAACTTTCCGTTTTTTCGCCTCAGAAAAGTGCTGCTTATTTAACGTTACCCGGTGCTAAGCCACGGAGGCAAGAAACGGACCGCACTGTCATAGATACCGGTTCATAGGGTGGGCCACATTCACACATCACGTAACAGAGGACGACACCACACAGAGAGAAACATTCATGCTCTGAGCCGGATTTGAACTCGCAACCATTGATGTCTCAGTTTGGCCCGCTTAGCCACTTAGCCGTACCAAATTTATGTTAGTTACTGTTGTAATAGTTACTCATAATTGTAATTATATACCAAATTTATAATTAATTTAACAATACGAGAGAAAAACCGAAAGAAAGTTTTCTCTGGTTATTGTGGATCGAAGTTGAAAGAGAAAATGAGGCATTAAAGATAAGACATAACTTTCTTTTTTCAAGGACGCAGAGACATTTGTCACACCGCTTTATAAAGCTCTCCATTTAAAAGCAGGGCTCTGCATAAGGGAGAAGAGGTGAGCTACTTATGAGAAAAATAGCTTCTAGGGCGTCTTCTACAGATATCCTTGTTCAATGCCAGAAACAGACATAATTCAATGGGTGGGAGATCAGGTGGCGGATGGTCAAGGCACTCCTAACCAAGAGTTGCACGATGATTTTGCGCTGCTGTCGCCGAATGTGGTCTTGCATTGCCATCAAACAACAGAAAACCACATGTAAGAAGGCCATGCAACTTTATATGAATTTACATCATTCAATTTTGACAGGATGTGACGGTACCATACAACATTGATAGTTCCCACATCAATTCTGTCACTGAAGAAAGTTCAGTGACAGAAGTCACCCCGATGCTCAACGCCACTTTAATGTGTAGAGCCCTGTTTTCTTCTTTTTTTTTGAAGTACATGAAGCGGTATGACTAATGTCTCAACGGTAATTGTGTAGAAAAATGAAGTTTCGTCCTATCTTTAATTTCTTAATATATTTTTTTACTTTCATTTGCATTTCTGTTCACAATTCCCATGGAAAACTTATTTTTGGACACCCTCTTTTATAATAATAATGGAACTAATATAGAGCCCCTGATTGTTAAAAAATTAAATAAAGTAAAAAATAAATAAATGAAATAAAATGACTGAAACTTTCATAAATTTTTTAAAATTTTTATTGTTACATACTCTTTTTACGTTTTTATTTTCGATAAAATTTGCGTAATAAAATTTCAAGTAAAGCATTGAGAAATAACATATTAAGTTAGCGAAACAATCATGTTAAATGCTACACTTAGATAATGCTAGCAGAGCAAGAAACTCATAAAAAGTACTAATGACTAATTATAGTTGCATTTTTATTTTCACAAGAAGCAGCACTTTTAAATTCATAATTTCAATGTAAATATATCAAGAAACAATAATTGCAAACATGAAACAGTTGAGTTCATGCCAATTTTAGATAATGTTTAAAAAATGGATATCCACAAAAAAGAAGAAATATTTTTGTGCTTTCATTTTCTCAAGAAATTATGCTTTTTAATATCAATGTAAAACATTTCAAAAAGTACATAAATTCACCAAACAATTGAGTTTATGATAATTTTAGATAATGCTTACGAAAAGGATATCCACAAAAAAGAAGAAATATTTTTATGATTTTATTTTCACAAGAGGTTATGCCTTTTAATTTCAATGTAAAACATTGCAAACTATAAATCGGAATTTATGATGTGGTCTTGCTAAAGATGATGTGGTAAATGTGGTTGATTTTCCATTGACGTATTAAAAAAAACATTAAAATTGACTTTTACCTAAAAATAGAAAATCACGATATAAGCAAACGATCAGCAACCTCGCTCGGTCAGAACAAAACTGATTCCTTTTAGGAAAGAAGTAATTCTCAAGAGTCGCAATGGCTCAGGAGATAAAGTATTCGCCTTCCAATGAGGTGAAACGGGTTCGAATCCCAGCGATGGCTGGTCGATAGAAATCCGGCTTGCACCAACCACAGTGCTAACGTGAAATATCCTGAGTGGTAGACGGATCATGGGTTAGAGTCCCTTTACAATCAGGCTAACCGTGGGAAGTTATCGTGGTCTTCCTCTCCATGTAACGCAAATGCGGGTTAGTTCTATCAGAAAGTCCTCCATGAAGGCATACTTCTCCCAATACTTGATCCAGGAGTTCCCTTATCTTCTAGATTAAGTTCAAAATTACAAGGTTACGGAATTGAACAAAAGTAGTCGTAAACCCAGAAATTGGATCGACTGTTCAACGACGGTTATAAAATTAATTCTGATATTACACCCTTCCCTCAATTCGTGAATTTTGAATTTAAAAAAAAATTCAACCGCAAAACTAACGCTAAAGATTGGAGTTTAGAATAATAAAACACATAACTGCACAATATTAAAAATATGAACACATCTGCAAATTACCATTATATAGCTATTATATATGTCGGTATTATTTTAAACTCAGACCAAATAAATATTTCAAAAACTAAACACTTGATCTAAACTATTAAAATTTAAATACTATTCTGCTATATCAATTTAAAAAATATTAACCAGACAAAAAGAGAGTAAATTACTGAATTATGATTTCCAAATAATATCTAAACTATTCATAAAAACAGTTGTATTTATACCAAAGAATACTGAAATATACGCATCAATAAATGTTTTAAATATTTAACAATATTTTTATGAAGCAGTCCTCATCTCAACATTAATACAAACTAAGCATTAAGGACAAATTTCAATGAGACTCCAAACGTGAAAATAAATAAAAGGAATCGT